CATGAGGGAAGCCTAGAGGGAGCTGGGGAACACAAGAAGACACATGAGGAGAACCCGAGGAAGAACAGGAGGGGGCCGGGGACCAAGGGGACACAGAACATGACACATTAACTGGAAGAAGAAAGATATATTGTACATGAGATTGGCCACACAATGACTGCATTTCAACATGAGATATTTACACAAAACAGTTGTTTAAAACTTTTAATAAAAAAATGGAACGGCAACAAATACGATGCAATTTCATAAATGATTGTGTTTGTGTATTTTTATTTGTATTTTTTTCATAGGGAAGTTGGAAAATTCGGAAAGTCTGAGGTTGTCTCCGAATATCCGGAGAGACCGCTCGCCGTCCCGCAGGAGTCCTTCGCCTTTTGGAATGGGCAAAAACCGAGATAGTGTCAGTTCTTGTCCTGAGATGGTGGGGCCCATGGTGAGCGTTTACACACTTTGGGGATTGGAAAAAAATTATAAAGCTCTTTGAAAAGCTGAATTTTTGTCGACATGTTTGTTTTTCAGGCAAACAAGGAAGCCAAAAAGAGCAACACGAAAGGTAAAACATTTGACGGCTTAAAAATTATTTTTTTACTGAAGATAAATGAAACTGAAACGGTAAAGCTGCTGTAGTAATACGTGGTCGTATATGACAAAAGAAACCTGTAAATTAAATTGAAATTTCAAAATCCTAAAACAAAAACATCGGGCCAAGTTAAGTCAACATGTTTCTGTCATTTTTGCAGCGTTTGATCAACGGGGTCAATGATCCTCGATAAAAATATATAGAAATGATTTAAGAAAAGTTAAATCCGTTCATGTTTCCTTTACTTTTCTATGCGTGTTTGCATGAATGACACCAGCTGTCAGCCGGCGCCGTGTGTCCTGCCGAGATCTGACTCATCCCGACTGTAACGGCTGGCTTTGGAAGAAGAGGAAGGAGAGCGGCGTCTTCATCACCCACAAGTGGCAGCGCTTCTGGTTCGTCCTCTCAGGGCCGAGACTTTACTGGTTCAACGGCCAGCTGGTGAGAAAAACATGGGACAATTTATACTTTAGTGCTTAGTTTATGAATCTGAAAGTACACTGCGGTGTGTGTGTGTGTATGAATCGCTTGTTGTTGTCCTGTTTAGGATGAGAAGGCAGAAGGGCTCCTGAATATAGCCAGCTACAACTTAGAGAGCGCTGGAGAACACAAACGAAAATAGTAAGACATTTTTATCCATGATCTTATTATTCTGGTGTTTCAGCACAAAACCTGAACACACACACACACACACACACACACACACACACACACACACACACACACACACACACACACACACGGTGTCTAACATCTGTGAAGCTTCAGCTATTAGCTGCTGTATAGTCAGTGGGTTTGGCTCAGCGGTTCAGATTGGGCCAGACAGGAAATCAAACACAGCAGCAGTGTGAAGCATCTGATACTGTAACTTTCAAAATAAAAGAGCTCTGAGCTAAGAAGCCCGTGACACCTCCTTGGTCGAGGTAAAGAGAACAGAGAATTAGCCACAGACCTTTTGACGCGTGCTGCCCTCTTCCTTCTTGGCGAAATCACGCTAGACTTTCCTGTGATGTCACAATCTCATGGGACCAGCTGCGTGGCACGCATTCACAGCCGCTGTACTTGTGACACGCTCCCAGTAGGAAAGGAAGCACCACTAAAGTTGAGGTGAAAACTCATGCATGTGGGTTGTGCCCACATGCATGATCTGCCAAAGACGGATGGGCAGCAGCGGTGGAGGTGGCGCCTCCACCACTGCTGCCTTCAGTTCCCCGTTCAACTGAAGGATCTGTTGGCCTGGAAGGGCCTCAGGTGAGGAGTGTTCCTACATGGTACTTTCATAAATAAATATGGACACAAAACACACACATTCCATTACAGACAGACAAACACACACATACATACATGAAATCACAATTATTTAATGATTAATTCCATTCACATGACTTGTGTTTCTTGTGTTTGCATTTGCGAGTTTTGTTTTTTATTTTCAGATTTCTGCTTCTCACCGTAATCCCAACCTTCTTTTCTTTCCACCAGCGTTTTCCAAATGCGCCATCCGAAGTTTCAAAACTTCATCTTTGCTGCTGAGGACACCAAAGACCTGCGCAAGTAAGCTGGAGCCGGGATGCATTTAATAATCATCTCTGAGAAACAAAACAAGACTCTCATGATAACGTAATCCGCCTGGATTGTGTTTGGTGCATCATCCTTATAAAATGCCATTATTCATTTGTTTCTTCCTTATATAAAAGATAAAATCATGTTTTAATTGCTGCCGGCATGCGCTGCCTCCTGCTGCTCAGCATTTTAGATCCTGTCAGTAACATGGCTCCTGGCAACAAATCCTTTTTACATATATATTAATGTGGATTTGTGACATTTGCCTTCCCCAGGTGGATTAACGCTCTGATTACAGCCATTAAAAACCACAAGAAATCACTAGCAGATCCAGACAGCGAAGAAGGTGATAAAACTGTTCATTTAAAACACACCCAGTTATTTTTCTGCACCTTTTCAGCTGTAATCTATTCTGCACCCTCTGTGTCAACACCATGGGGATAAATAAATTACTACCATTTGTCTCATTTTTATGTTTATCAATGACCAGGGGTAAAATTTTTTAGCGCTGTTGCCATGGCTACCTTGCTGCAAAACGTTTGAGCTAACGTTTCGTTAATGTTTTAACAGAGTGTTACAGTGAGACAGACTCGGAGAGCGAAGTGTCGCCTGCGCCGTGCAGGAGAACCAAGGTCAGGGCAAAGAAAAGAGCATTATGAACACAGAAAACGTGCTGCATCTTAGTCGGACTAATGTGTGTGTGTGTGTGTGTGTGTGTGTGTGTGTGTTAGCCTCAACCTAAAGGGAAAACAAACAGAACGTCATCATCTAGTTCTACAGCAGAGGGCAGCAAAGGAGCAGGTATGTCTTCCTTTCTTACTTTTGTGTCTGGTTGTGATTTTGTTTTAAAGACTTCTCAGAAATGTTTCCTTCCTGTCATTTTGCCCCCCCCCCCCTCCCTTTTTTTTTTTTTTTTTTGTCTTGTCTGCATGAGAAGCTGTCCCAGAAGACGAGATGGGCCGGATGCTGAACAACATAAAGGAAGGAGGGGTGTCTCTGATAGGCCACGATCAGCCGTTCACGCAAGACCACTTCAGGAAATCTTTCATTCGGCGCAACAAGAACCCCGTCATCAACGAGAAGGCGCTCACGCTTCGGGCCCTGCAAAGTACTCTAAAGGTGAGGGGGGCTGAACCCAGCGTACGTCTCAGGTTACCTTTCTCTGTCATCAAATATTGACTCAGGTGAACTAAATGTAGCCTTTTGCATTAGCTCACTCCGTCTGTTGTCACATGTTCTTGGTTCAGGACGTGTTTTGATGCATTTAATTAAGTTTTGAGAACTATTGCGTTCTAATTTCTAGGTTTCCATTTGGAAAGTTACTCATTTGAGCTCAGCTGCATGGAGACTGAAGTTTCTTTGCTCCGCAGGCCAAAGAAGCCGAGTTGCAGCAGATCAACAAGATCCTCGACGACCCAGATCTGACAGCTGCGAAGTTCCGTCAGTGGAAGAAGCAGAACGAGGAGCTGGTTCTGGAAATCGAAAAACTGGCCAAATGCAAAGCTCCCAAAGAAGGGAAGGACGCTGCAACGGTGCAAGGCACGCCTGCTGAGGCGGTTGCCTTGGAAACTGTTGCCAAGGAGACAGCCGGCTCAGAGAGCGAAGGTGCATACAGACTGAGCCTGAGTGATGGCGAGCAGCTAGTTGACGCAGAGCCATCTGACGTGCTTCTGGAGATCCCGCCGGGCTCTCCGAGTCCCGAGACGAGCCTGGAGCTGGAACTCTCTATGGGATCGCTGGCGGAGTCCATAAACAAACATCTGAGTGAAAATTCGGCTGTGGCTGAAAATTACTTCTTCATTTAGCTTCTGCAGTTCAAAGTTCCTCTTTTTAATTTAGTTTGAAGAAGCAGAGGATGCTGTCGCCATGACGACATGATGGAGGAGCCTCCCTTCTGACTCAGTCAAGACTCTGATCCAGTTTCTCAAAGGATACAGCCAAAATCATTAGAGACATGAAGAGTTTACAGTCAGGAAAAAATAAATCTGCCAAGTGTTCAGCTTATATTTATGAAATTCTCATGACTTTTATTGAGACTTGGTGAGAATTTCTAAAGTGAGCGTGTTAAAATGTGACGTGTAAATATAGAAGGTCTCATAAACCCTGTATTTGTTTTTAACCTTAATAAAGGCACTGAACAAAGTTTTACACAACACTCACTCCAAAAGGTTTTATTAGCCTCACTAAAAAGGTCTTTCACTGGCCTTGGAGCGCTGAAGTGGGTCGTTATTAAATATTAAGATCGATGTGGACGGAAAAGGAAAATAAATTATTTTATTTAGCTTAATTAAAGTATACATTGTGTTTTGCCATGTTGAGAATAACATTAATCCTATAGTTTGCTTCTACTTCTGTTGATTTTTATGCATTTTATTTTTTCACCTTGATGCTCTTATTCTGCAGCTCTGCACCGGATTGGCTGCTTTCAGCCACTGATCTTGTGATGTAACTCGCTGATTGTCTTTGTGGCTGAATGACCTCTCATCTACTGACTCACCGACCATCGCATCTGATACCTGTGCACGAAACGGGCGCTCGCGCCAACGAGCTTGTCGTGAAAGTGTTTAGATTTCTGCCTCGCAGCTGTGCCCGCAAGAGAAAACGGTCATTCATTAGATGCATAATTAAAATCTTTTATTTCAGAATCAATGCAGCAACAAGGAACACGAAAATGGTTATATGACATCAAATAAGATGTTTTATAGCAAAAGTAAAACCATTCATGTAAAGCCTGAAAACAAAACGCTGCTAATCTGATGTCCTCGAACAAAAATGTCATTCTTCAGACAGAAAAGGTCCAATTTCTGCGAACAGTACGAAGTTAAAAGGCATCACTAATCGATACTCGTGTCATGTTTCACTTTATATGGACGTCCATCACTTTCTATGCTGCATTCACTATGTTCACACCTGTTAATCATTTATGTTCATGGACTCCCGGCCTCTTTGTATGGATTAGTTCATCAGTGGATTCTCGTTTCTAACAGCTGACTTCATACACATCCACATCTGTTTTGCTGGTGACTTCTGGGCAGGAGCGGCAGGCAGGGCAGACGGTTTGTTCCTGGCGTGATGGACAGGCTGGACATCTGGGTCGCTTGAAGCTGAACAGCAACGCGCTTCCTCCCAGCACCTGTAAGCATGAGCCCAGCCATCCGAAATAGAGCGAGCCGGCGGCGTTGAGGTTGAGTTGGGGGAAGCGGTTGCTGACCCCTCGGCTCGGATCCATCCCAAGTCTTCTGAGGTTGTGGGTGTACACGCCCAACCCGGCCAGGCTCAGAAGGCCGGCGACCACCACAAGTAGCCCGCCGGACGCTGCGACCCTTCTCAGAGGCAGGTCCGTCCAGCATCGGACCCCGATGCATGCCAGAAGGATGCCAATGCCGCACAGGAACAAAGAGCTCAGCACCAGGCCCTGCACCAGTCGGACCCGTGAGTCTCTCTGGTATAAACCAGACACGGGCCAGCACTGCTTCAGTTCTGATTGCTCCACCTGTAGGCAGCTCTCCCACAGCCCGTCAGAGCGCAGCAGGAGCAAGGCCTCCGCTGACCCAGACCTGGCACCCATCCCTTGACCCTTTAGTCCTGTTCGAAGAAGAAAACCAGATCCTCCGATGTTTAGACGTGCCTTTCCCTCCCTCCACTGAGGGGTGATGGCAGCGGTGAAGACAAGAACCAGTCCCAAAGGTGCAAAGACTATCCCCATCACCATGGAGGCTGGAGTGTGCATCATTTATTCTGGAGCCCTAATTTTTCTCTCTAAACTCTCACGGCATGCAACAGATGATTCAAATGCCCTGAACGTTTTTGCTGCTTCTGCTCAACGATTTGCATGCTGCAGACCCAAAGATATGCGAGGATCTGTTCTGGAAACAAAAGAAAGAAGTTCTTCAGTGTAGAGAAATCACCAAAACATCATTTAGATTTTTAAAAGCTCCTCCCAAACCTTAGTGTTGAAGCTTTTTTGTCCTTTAGCGGCAGATTCTGCGTTCTGAGTCTGGATGAAAGAAAAATAAAAACAAGTGAGTGAAGCTTCTGTCAGTGAGGAGGGATGGTGTGAAGTAGAGGAATGGATGAACCGGTGGTGGGAATGGTTTCACTGCTCCTGCGCTGGATAGGGAACACAAAATAAAAGAGTCAATATCTCTGTTGCTAGGATACAATAACCTGGACAGCCTCAATGTGACAGCCGTGTGTGTGTGTGTGTGTGTGTGTGTGTGTGTGTGTGTGTGTGTGTGTGTGTGTGTGTGTGTGTGAGTGCGTGCGTGTGTGCTGTCTGACAACTAATGGTCTGATGTGACCTTGGAGGAATCCTTTTGGTTTAATAATCATGTGGGGCGAGCGTCTGAATGCAGAGTGACTCCATCTTCAGCGTCCCTGCCCAAATGAAAAATTGTCCTCAGGAAAGAGGGCATGTCCACCTGAGGAAGTGTCGTTTAGCAGAAGTCACACAGACCCAGGTAAAACACCTGAACAGCTAAGGTGGAAGCTGATTGGTGGTCTGATAAAAATTTAAAACAAACAAATTCTCTGAATTTTAGAGTTAAAAGCAACACGGTCATCATTCCATCTTTTAGTTCTTTTAAAACACTGAAAGGTTTTATTTACCTGCAACGTTTCGTTTGCAGCCACAAATGAAACGTTGCAGGTAAATAAAACCTTTCTGTGTTTTAAAAAGAACTAAAAGATGTAATTAGAATTTCAGCACAGCAAGAACACACCAAAGACGCAGTCGTCATGTTCTGAAGAATTTGTTTTCTTTCATTAGTATTGCAGAATTTAATTGATGAGCCAATAAAAATAACAAGACTGACCCTTTTATGAATTGTTACCAAGTGAGAAAATGTAGATCATTTCTTACCTTTTCATTTGAGTAAATAAAGTAGCTTTCATCAGACGTTAACAGGATTAGTGTTGAGGTAAAGTGTGTGTTTAAGACCACCTACAGAAACACACACACTATGGAAAAAGGTGGTCAAGTGCCCCCACCACACACACACACACACACACACACACACACACACACACACACACAGCTTTGCATTTGTACCTTTTTAATTTGTTTTCAGGCTTAAATTGAATAATTTTCACACAACACATCAACATGTGTATTTTAATTTCTATAATTATATTTTATTCCACTCCTGTTGTTCCGCTGCGTTACTTCACAAACAGATTAACAGCCGTGTGTCACGTTTATTTCCTTATTTGCTACTTTAGCAGAGTCATGATGAGAAACGGAGGAAATGACAGATGTGGATGTTTTTGTCTCCATCAGATGTGATCTGATTACATTCACAACGTTCTGGTAAATAAACGTCACCGTTTCTCCCTCGGACACACGCCTACCTGCGGGTTTTTGCTTCACCAAGTTTGAGTATTTTGCATTTTCAGAAAGCGTCTGCTGAATCCAGATGTTTGTTTTCCTTTAAATGGAACAAACGGGGTACAAAAGGATTTGGAAACATCTCTATGAAAACAGGCTGTGAGCTAAAATGAAGCGGATCACAGAAAACATATCAGCACATTTAGAGGAAAAGCAGACATGAGCACAGACGCAGTGAAGAGGGTTACCTACCATTCAGGAGGCGTTTTATTCATCTCACTGCAGATTCTTGGCTGCTTCGCTGCTCTGGTCTGAATCGCTAACATGTTTCCCTTTTTGGCAACAGATGGTGCATCCACCTCCTTTTGTCTGCACACTTTCCTCCCCTGCCTCTGATTTTTAATTCTCTCTCTCTCTCTGTTTATTGTCCTTGTGTCTCTTTTCCCATTTCCCCGCTCCTTCCCTGTCTGTCTGCTCCTCTCTTCCTCTGTGTGTGCCTCTCTCTTCTACATGCTGGAGAATATCTAGGACAGAGAGCCTCCAGATTTTCCTTGCTGGTGTCAATTCATGGGATGAAAGCGTCTCTGCAGAGAGCAAAGACAACTGCACATAAAGCAACATTTAGTCTCTATTATTTAATAAATAATAAAAGTTGTCTTGAGATTAGAGACACATCTGATTGTTAGTCTGAGCTGAAACCCGCATATTCATTGCAATCGACTGTTGCACCATTTTCCAGCTTGTGTTGCTTGTGGCTGTGCACATCTGCAGTAAGCCTGCATATCCTGATTGTTCAACAAGTAGATTATGTTTATGTTTATTCATTTAGCAGACGCTTTTATCCAAAGCGACTTACATTATAATCTATAGGGCGTGTTGTGATCTGTGGGGGAAACCGGAGTACCCGGAGGAAACCCACGCATGCATGGGGAGAACACCATCGACATTAATATATGGACAATGGGTTTCCATAGGCTCCAATAACAAGTTTTTGTGCTGAAATGGGAGGTGGCCGTTGCCACCACCGCCATTTTGACCATGTCACAGGTTCCGTCCAGCCCAGACAATTCCATAAAAGGGAAGAGAGGAGGAGCTGAGGGTGGGGCTGTAAGGCTGGGATCAAATGACGACACCCGGTCGAACTAGCTACAATCTAACCTAAAGCTAACCCTGGCTAACCCAAAGCTAACGCGGAGGTGGGAGCCGAGCTAACGGATGTAGCCACCTAGCTTCAACCCAACCGGAGCTAACTGTGGAACACCCATCGGCCTGAACCTCACACGAAGTTTAGGTGGAGGTTTTCGGCGCTTTTTCATGAAAAGTACCTGGATTAATAAAGTATTAAATCGGTAAGTTTATAATTTATTTCCGTAATGAAAACATATTTTGCTTTTTTGCAGAACACGCAACTCCACGCTGAAAAGGTCGCAGCCGAGCCAAGTTTTGAACCTGCAAACTTTGTGCTGCGAGGCAACAATGCTAACCACTTCGCCACCATGCAGCAGATTAATTTCTCTAATAATCAAGACAAACATACAAATCACATGAGCAACAATGTTTATTTTTGTAAAAAAAAAAGGGGCATTTTGTAACAAACAGGCTTGTAAAAATGAAATATGTGAATGCTTTGAAATGATGCATTAGGTAAAAGGAAATAAAATTTCTAAAAACCAAATTTCCATGTGGTTACACCATCCAGGCGGGAAATGTCAGAAGATTTGGGCTAACAAAAATGGCCAATACTAATTCTTTTTGTGGTTTTATGGGTGGAAATGTTTGACGTTTTACGTTCTGAATTCAACCTGACAATGGGCGATTAAACTTGGAAACTAACTGGAACCAACAGAAAGACGCTTTAGCTGAAGCAAACGCAGCAGGACACTTGAAAAGAAACTGGTGAGCACACTGAAAGCAGCAGGAGGGACTGAAAAGAAATGCTATAAAAGTTGCACGAAGCTCTGAAAATACAAATTGAAATTCATACACAAAAATGGTAGAAACAATGTAATATTAAAATCTATTTACAAATATGTACAAATGACGCAGCAATCAAATAATAATATTTAAAAAGTCATCAAAAAAAATTAGACCAAATGAGATTTACAAAACTTTCAGAATCTGTTTTGTCTGCAGCAAATCTGATGGTCGCAGCGGCATTAGTGCTGGTTCCGAGGCAGGACAGTTACACAGACCAGTCATGTTCATCCTTCAAATACGTCTGTCTTCATACTTCAACGAGAGTGACCTGGAACTGACCGGGGACTACCTCCGGCATCTCAATGAGGAACGCCGACTGGTTACTGTAGTGTTCGATGATGTTGTCGTCCATGTTGACGAATATCCTGCAAGAAGAAAAAATACAGCAGAAATAAAGTTACTTGGATGATTCTGGAGCCACGTTTAAAACTTTGTGCTAATCTAGAGAAAACAAGAGCCGGGGGAATAAATCGAGTCCTTGTCTGCCTCCCTTCTGATCTTTGACAGTAACCTTTAATGCTTGAACTAATCTGCGGCTCACACATTCTGCCTGCAGGGACGGGGCTGATTGAAGGTAAAAGAGAAAAAAAATAAATAAAGGAGGGAGGGAACTGCAGGGGGAATGCAACCCAACCTGTTGGCTTGGCTGCTTCCCCTACAGTGATGACGACCAGCGTGCAACAGGAAAAAAATCAAATTAAATCACAGAAAAGGTGTATAGAGGTCTTACATAAAGCTCTTTAATCTGGCATAATGTCCAGATTATCAGCAGTTTAAAAGCTTCTCAAAAGTTTGTTTCTATTGTTGGAAGACCTGAAACACCTGGGGTTGGTTTTTTTCGCCCAGATTCGTCGTTAGAGATACGCAGCTCTGAGAAAACCATCCGAACTTTTTTTTTTTCCAGAGATGTGTGACGGACCAAACCTTGATGGACAACATTGAGGCTTGTGACTGGAAGCTTGAGGCTATTTATCAAAAGAAGGCATCACCATGAATGTTGCTTCCTTGTGTTCCAACAAGGTTCGGTTATGAAAACATCGATAATTGGAAACAATCAGGGATGACTCATTGGCAGGACTTGTGAAATCTTTTCATCCATTCTTTTTTCATGAAGGAGCTGACATTCCAGAGCCAACTGAACCTACCAGCCCGGTCTGTCGGCGTGAGTTCGCTTTAGGGGGAATGAGATTAGATCTACAAACTGAACCCCGAGCACATTAGGAATTCCTACGTCAGTTAAACTCTTAATTTACTACAAGTCGGTTGTAAAGCTGCAGTGCTCGTAGGACAGCGACAAAACAATGAGAAACTCACCCTCGCTTGCACTTTTTGTAGATTCTTCCAATGGTGTCTTTTTGCAAACCGTACTTTTCGGAAATCTGAGAAGGAAACGAAACAGAAGTTAGCGCGAGCTCATTCTCGAAGGAAGGTGATCTGTTTGTGGAAAGTATAAAAAGGAAATGAAGAACGTGAGGTCTTCATCTCAAACAGGAATGCGTTCTTTTTATCTTACGACACTTACAGCATCCCGTAGACCTGAAACTGTTGGCGAGCTGAGCATGAGTGCGTCGAACACCTCCTCTGTGGCCGCCCTCACGTACAGGAGAACTAACAGAAAGCAACAACACACATTTAGCATCAAGAAAGACCAAACCTAGCAGCTACTGTCCTGACAGGACCTGAGAGCGCCCACTTACCTCTTTGTGGGTCTTCTTTGCGAGCTTGTTTGTTGGGAGGAGAGCTGCTCTGATCTCTGTCTGGATACAACCTCTTCAGAGAACTCCTGGTGGCAAAAGAAGCAACATAAACATTAGAATAAACAAACAAACAAACAACATTCAAATGTGTGTTGAAATAATGTTTTCTCCAGTTTTTACCTGTCTGCGTCATCCAGTGAGGAAGTCTAGAGACAAATAAAGAAAGAAGGTAAACCAAAGGTTAGATAAGACAAAAGACAACTTTATGTTTACGATGCTATAGCCCTCCCACTGTCTTTAAGGGTGACCCCGCGAGGAAAGTTGACCATTGAGCAGGATTGATGGTTTATCCCTTGAGGTCCACGTGGCAGGGGTGAGGAGAGAGCACCATCTCACCCCTGCCACGTGGACCCAAGGGATGAACCATCAACCCTGCTGAATGGCCAACTTTCCTCGCGGGGTCACACCTATTAGGACAGTGGGAGGGTTAAAAATGAATGCGTCTACTTCCCATGACCTCTAACTGAGACGACGAAGAGGTGCAGATAATAAACACTTAAACACACTTTTTAATGTCAAGTCATAGTGTTTCTCTTGAGCACACGTCCCTCAGAGCTCTGTAGCGTGGGAAAAGTGGCCTGCCCGGACAGCGCCCCTCTCTCTGCAGCTGTTTCAAACACTGTTGAGTGAAGCACACCGAGAGCATGGGGGCGGCGTGCCGTGGATCCGAGCTGTTATTTCTGTGTTTTCGTGCAAGCCCCCGTTGCTTCATGTCTTCGAAGTTGGAGCAGCTTAAACTTGTTCCATGGTTTCGACTCCAATTAGCTTATCTGATCTTAGGTCTGTGTTTAACCTCACTTTCGCCTGCGTTACTGACACCTACCGCCCCCGGTTCCCAAGCAGTGTTTTTTTTTCTTCCCCACCCTGCATACTTTCCCACAGTTTTCCCTGTTGTCTTTCCTTCACCTGCATGCAGGGATGAACACGTTTGGAGGAGAGGATGGGATAGTGAACCTACCATTCGCTGTAAGGTGGAGTAATGTGCTTCAGGGATGAAGAAAACAGGCTGGGTGATGTGGTCGTCCAGATTCTTGAAGTAGGTGCACTCGGTACCAACGGAGCCGCTCATTATCGATTTGTTAGCTGGAAGAAAAGCAGGAAAGCATATTAGATTCAACTTCCTTGGGTAGTGTAATTCTACAAAAGGAAAAAAAAAATAGCATTACTCACTGTTTGCATCATTACTGTTCTTCACCCTCCTCTTGGACCTCTTCCTCTCCTCGTCTCGCATCTTCCTCTCTGCACCCTGAAGACACACAAATCCGTGATTACGAAAATGGCAGCCGTCCACAAATACCAGTTTTTGCTGCTTGCACAAGAAACTGAATGAATTAACGGGCAACGTACCTTATCGCAGAAAATCTTGATCTGGCAGGCAGCTCTGTGCAGGAGCTGGTTGTTCCCCGAGCTGAAGTCATAAGTGTCAATCTGCAGGTTGAGAGGAAGACCTTTCACCCCTTTCTGAGCGGAGAAGTCTGTGCTCAGGGAGTTTATCCCAATATAAACCTGAAAAACAAGAAAGCAAGGCTTCCGCTTTAAACATTTAGGTAAAAAGTAATAGAGATTGGAATGCTTTTAAAAGGACATTTCACCTGTTAGCTTTAGCTTAGCATAGTCAATGTAAGTAAACGGTAACAGCTAGCGTTTCAATCATTCACATACAAAAAAGACACCTACTTCCATAAACACAAATGTGGGGCTACTAGGCTCCAACCTGCTACAGTTTTTTAAGGGACAGCATAGTTGCACTAACGGTGGCCGAGTACACGACAGAAGAAGAAGGTGTCTCTGGGGGCCGCTGTGTCATATCCTTGCACCTGAAACTTACAGCAGTGCGTTGTCGAAATGTAGTCCTAAGTCTAAAGCGGCTCCTGCTTCCTTCGAGTTACTTTTTATTTCCATGACTTTTTCCACTCAAAATGCTAGCTGATACCATTCGCTTACATTGTTTATGCTAAGCTAAAGCTAACAAAATACTTCCAGATTAAGAGTTTGTTGAAAAATCTTTTCACCCACTTATCTAACACTGGGTAAGATACCAAATTTCACTCAGGAATGGAATATTTCCAAATCTGAGGTGGATAAAAGAAACTGGAACGACTGCTGCTTTCCCTGTTCATAACACTCCATCAGCCCCAACACTTGTCTCCAGTTTTAGCATATTTGATGGCCTCACCTGAGCACCTTCGGGCCACAGAGCAGTTTCAGAAAAGCAGCTTCCGCCTTGTTTGGTGACAAGAGCCTTAGGGACAAACACATTTCTTGCATTCCTCCTCCTCCCTCTTCAGCCACTCCTTGTCTCATTCCCTCATTTCCCTCATAAAAATGTCACCTGTTCTGTTTCTTTTTTACTTTAGCAAATCCACCTCACGGAATGAAATCTTTTGAGATCGGTGCATTTGCAGAACTTTACCTTGGCTTCTTCGAGGGGGTTCCACACGAACGAGAGAGCGTTGAAGGCCACTTCTTCCACATTGCTGATGCCGCTGAACACTTCCTTGTAGTCGGCTGTAAAGACACAGGAGAGGAAAATTTCAGCACGAAACTCCGGGAAACTCTTTAAACGTGTAAGGCTGGAGTATATTTAGCAGCGGCGAGTGCTTTTACTTGAGCAAGCAAGGAACGTACCGATGTCGATGACCCTCTGTTTGACGGTTGGCTGGCGTGCGTGCCAGTGATTCCAGAAGCGAAGCTGCATTTCTGGGCTCTTGTCATTCTCAAACACAGCCATGATCACCGTCTAAAGTGGGAAACAAACGGATTTTAGGTTCGCTGGTGTGACACCTGCTGACATTTCCAAACGATCAGCTCTTATTTAAAGTCCCACATATTTCATCTGTTGATGCAAATCCTTCTTTTCTCGACTGACAAAGAAGCGAGCTGTAAGGAGCACCACTCCTTGTCCTCTCCTCTTTTCTTTTTTTAACACCCAGACAAACACAGCTAAGCTGAGCTGTTCTACTCTCGGGGCCTCGTTCTAACTGCTTTAGGAATAAATTGCACAAGGCAGGACGCAGTCATTTCCACCGCACTAGCCCTGAGCGCTGTGTGTCAGCAAGGTATTAGTCACTGAAGGAGCTGGCTTTAAGGGAGGGACACTAATTTGGGAAAGGCTGACTGGGTGACACGCAAAAAATGTGTTTGCTTCAAGAAAAAGAGATTTAGAAGCCTGAAGGTAAAAATAAAACAATGGATGTTGAATTATTTACCCAACAACGCACGCAAACAAAAGAAAACAAAACTTTGGATGTGCCTTTTGGTTCCGTGACGCACCTTGACTTTGGTGGCAGCGAGGCAGGCGGTGCTGTCCACTCCCTGCAGAGTGATGGGGTAGAACTGGCCCTTGTTCAGGTACACCATCGGCAGGTCGCTGGACTTGTGAGAGGAAGCTGCTGGAGATCCCAGAGAGAACTGGAACTCGTTCCTGAGCCTCTCTGGTGGGGAGCTGGCGTAGGAGCCGGAGTAAACTGGGCTGGAGTTGCTTTCAGGGAACGGGTCGCTGTACGGAAGAGTCTGGAATCCACACAATTTATACTTCTTAGAAAAAGAGCAGGAAGTGGAACACAACTTTCCAGTGATGGGGGTAAACTTACATCCGTGTTTGAGTCAGTGAACGCACCGCCCTGCATCAGGACATCGAAGATGTGGCTGAACTCCTGCTTGTCGTACGTGTCGGCCACGACGCTGGTCAGGGTGGCGTACGTGTCTGAGGTGGTGGGAGCAGAAATGGGGAGGGAGGTGATGGGCTTGGGCACCAGGACTTCCTGGGAAGTGGGAATGCCGTCGGTGTAGATCTTCATGGCGTTCGCGTTGGTCTCCAATGAGACCAGATCGCTGGTGCTGGTGAGAGTCCTGCCGGGTGGAAAAGAAAACTGTTTTGAGGAGGTAACCTTTGAAGAAACTACAAATGTCAATCAGAGCTGTGATTGTGTCTCCACACACACACACACACACACACACACACACACACACACACACACACACGCACACACACACACACACACACACACACACACACACACACACACACACACACACAAACACACTAAAAGGTGGGCTTCAGCATCTAAGAAGGGGGTGTTTGTTTCTCTCGCTGTCCTTTGTTTGACTTTCTCTGCTGAAAGTGTTTTAAGGGGGCAACACCGTGCCCCAACAATGAACTTTTCTCACCCTAACAAGGAGGAGTGGGGAGGACCGAGAGTGGGAAAAAAAACAACAATCATCTGTTCTTGTGTTGTGAAACTCTCAGAGGGACGGTGGTGATGGAGAAATGAATAGAAGCACTGGAGACTTTGTTTGACTGAAGGATTACCTGCTTATGAGTTCATGACATTCTTAAACCATGACATTTTTCTTTTTTATTAATATTGCTGTTGCTTTTAAATACTATTAATTGAGAAAAAAAACAGTATTAAGAGTAAAAATGTGTGTTTTTTTCACATTTTTCATTAAAAGTGCTTTCTAATCTTATTTTATTTTCATCAGGAGTCCTGTTTACCAGATCCGAACATTTAAACACTCACCTCTCTGGTTTGGCGTTACAGTTGAACGTGATTGTTTTCTGCTCCTTCTGGTTCTGAAAATGCAGAAAAATAATCCACAAATAAATAAAAATTCTCTCAGGAAATAAAGTTTGGTTAAAGTTGAACAAGTGGGCATTATTTACCCTGCAGTGCTCTTGGAGCATTGTTAAAGCTGCGAGGTTGTCTCCTGGGTGGAGTCTGGGTTTGGGGGGGTTCTGCTCAAGGACAGAGTTGTCCAGGTAGGACCAGGATTCCATAAAGTAGTTGCCGTAGGGGTTGAAGCTGAAGTTCTCGTTCTGAAAGACCAGTCCCAGGGTCCTGCAAGAGGAGCAACATTGCATTTATTAGACAAGAACCTGACTTGAAAACTCAAAAGGGATGATGCTGAGGAAGCCGGTGTTTAATAATAATAATAACAATAATACATCAAACTTGTGTAGCGCTTTTTAGGTCACTCAAAGACACTTAGACGTTTGGACTCAGATTGAGTCAGGTGCAGCTGTGGCAGAGCAGAGCGGAGAAAGCTGCAGTGGTTCTAGATCCTCGGAGCAGGTGTACATACTCGCCCCTTAGCATGAAAGGTTTCGATTGCAAAACCACAGAGCTGAGTAAGATGCCTCAGGAGATGCAGCCTCCAAAATGTTTTAAAGTATACAAACATGCACACACACTTGAGGTTTTAAGCATTATCGTCCCAAATTGCACAGATTTAACACGACAGGACCTTTTCTCTATCTCATAAGCAGAAAGCCTAATCTGAGGAAAGTTCTCGTTTAATTTGTGAAATAATGAGGGGGGGGGGGGGGGGGGGGGGGGGGTTGTGAGGATACGGTTTGTTTGGAGAGACTCGCAGTGACATTGGACTGTAAACATCATGTTAAGCCCCCTTTCAGTGTTAGTCTGAAGGAGCTAATGAACAAACAGCCTGAATAAACAGTTAATAAAATGTGCTGACAGAAGGGGAGACCACAGCTGTGCACAGACACAACACGGGCAGAAGTGGGCAGAGTGCTCAAACTCAGAGATTGCTTTTAAAGCTGGAAAACAGCTGATTTTCATTGTTTTGGGGCAGAAGGAAATGTTTAAAACCCCTGACTAAAGCTGGTACACCTGCTCACAGGTGCACCTGTTTCCCACGATCTGCAGATGCCAAAAAAGCTGTAATACATCAAAATTAAAAGCAATCCTGCTGATTTTCTCCTCTTGATTTTCCACCGAGATGAGGTGGGATCTTTTCTAAAGTTTCGCCGTGGTGTAACTCAATGCAGCACATGCTGTCACAGCTCTCTGTGTCTGACACCTCCTGAGGAGACTCTCATTTCCCAGGATCCCTTTGTGCTCCGTGGCCTCTAGGTTAGTGACAACACAAGCCGAAACAGACCCACCATAACCACAGATCCAAATGTGTGTGCTTCACACAACGGTCCGTATCACTTTTCTCTGTAAAACACCTCGTATTAAAAATCAGGGATTTTTCACATGGGGGTCCCGTTGCAGAAAGGTTAATGGGTGGTGGGTGTTCCCATTCATCCAGACAGGAATCTGATATTATCCATTTACCGTATCACATTGAAACTGAACTGAACGCAGAAAAATACATCCAAGTAGAACAAAAACAGATCTAAATGTAAGTTTTTATTAAATATGAGGGTGGGAGAACTTACTCAGTCTCCTTGGTCATGTCTCCAGGGTCCTTTAAGTTCAAGTCTCGCTTGGTTTTAAACGCTCCTGTCTCCGAGTCAGCCAAGCAGAGGAGTTCATACGCGGGGATGAGTCAAGTGAAGTGATTTACTCTGAGCAGGCCCCATTTATTTCATGTCAGCACATAGTTCCCCTCCGCCCTCTGGTTGGCTGAGAGAGCAACAGGTGTCTGATAGGACAGGTGAGAGGAATTTGCATACTCTCAAATGAGAATGTGCAAAGAGAAGTCACTTAGCATGACAATACAAGACAGAAGTGTCTTGGATCTTTGTTTTCCAGACTAAAAGGAGGGAGACTGGGAATCTTACAGGTGTGGAAGGATTGTGAAATGAGAGGAACTCGGCTTTAACATGTTAATCGGTTTTCACTCTCAGCTCTTCATGTCAGATGCAGTTTTGGTTTCTTCACTTCATTGAGTTCAAATCAGATATAAAAAAACTAAAGAAAATAGGTTAAAGGAGGTGATTTTAAACCATACTAAGGTTGAATTTTCAAGGAGAAACATAAAAAATATTTTTATTACAGATAGTTTTCAAACAAAATGTGATTTTTGTGCTATTATTTTCTAAAAATGTATTTTTTTCACATAATCTGCTCCTTTAGTTTAGGACAAATAAATAAACTTAAAAATTCCATTAAAATACTAATTTCTGACTTGATTACTAAAACTTGCATCATTTCTTTGAATAAATAAAAAATGACCTCAAACTGTGCAAAAGAACCAAAAACAAACAGAAAACAGATTTTATTTATAAATGATGCACATTTAAGTTAAGATATTTCGATGTTAAAGTGCATTTTGCAAATGTTTGCCTTCTGAATTAATTTCAATTTTAATAAAATAATAATAATAAATCCATGCATATTGCTAAGAAACTGCAGCGTGGCATGCTGCTGATGGTGGTGGTGGTGGTATGGAACAAAACTGATTGACTGAAGCAAAAGTAGCTGTGGATTAGAAACCAGAGGCTTCCAGCTACATTTTATGATTTCATCTGCAGAAGATTCTGATTCAGACCCTCTGGTTATGCACTGGCGATGTTTAAGATTTACGTTTTATGGAATTATTCATGTGACATGAGATCAAGCAGGTCGTGCAGATCAGTCACGTCAAGGTGAAATGTTTGCTTTCATAATGAACACAACCCAAACCCTAACCCAAGATTTACATGTCTGGCCTGCACTTCCACACTTACTGCACAATTAAATGTAGGTTTTCATCTGTTCACAAGATGCCTTAGTTACACCCAATGATTTGCTGCGAGTGTGTGTGTGTGTGTGTGTGTGTGTGTGTGTGTGTGTGTGTGTGTGTGTGTGTGTGTGTGTGTGTGTGTGTGTGTGTGTGTGTGTTGTTTGCACATTGCCATGCCACCAGCAGAGAGTTACACACGGAGCCCCAGAGGGCATTTGGAATAGAAAGAGAAAGAAAAGGAAATATGCTCCTTTTATGGTCTTCTCACTTCCTGAGAATAAAAAGATTATATGAAATGATAAATAAATTTTAAAATATTCATAACTTTTTATTCCATAAACTAGAATTTCATGGATTCTGATTTGAGGCTGACATTAAAACAGGCGCTAATCCTCAATTTTACTCACTAAACAAGCCAAATAATCTCTGCATCAGTTTTCCCTCTTTTCTTTCCTCCATCTATCAATTTCAATGCAATAAAAACAAAAAGGGTCAAAATATTTATCTCTGGTTCTAAATCCTCAGGAAAACCTTTTTCCACCTTTCTCTTTAATCTGGAGACAAATCCTTTAAGACGCTCTTTGATCTGATGTTTCTGAGGCCTCAGACATAAGTCATCACTCAGAGGTAACAAAACGTAGCTTCGCGTGTTAGCAGCAGCAGGTGAACTCCCAACAGGTAACAAGTGGAATGGAAAATGTTCCATCATTTCCAGCAGCGAGGCAGAAAATTAAAGATTTCTTTGGTATTTTTCATTTTCATTGAAATTCTTGAAGAATTGTATATTTTGCATCTCTAGCCTTATTAAACTTGCATGTATTGCTTTTTTTAAAAGGTGCATGCACAATTAAAAAAATAAATAAAAAAGGAACTTGCTGTTCAGAAAAGTTCGGTGCAGGTGGGAGTTTAAATCCTCAAGCTGCTGAAACTACCTGCTCAAACATTCTTTTTGTAAATTGCGTGATGATGTTTCCTTACCGAAGAACATCTGAGACATTTTTCCACAAACGGTGAAAAGTTGTCTTGTGCTTATGGCTGCTTTCCAAGTCAAAAGCATAGTTAAGCCGCCCCCATGTTCAGCAGTCTCTCTGACTTCTGCAACCTTCTTTAAGCTCTTCAGCGCTTAGAAAATTAACATTTAGTCTGAGTCGTTCTGGGAATAAACCTACTACTGATTGGTCTGCCTGCTAGAATAAAAACAAAAAAGTTCAGTTCTCTTTCTTTGAGTGAATAATTTATACCCCAAACACTCGTAGAGGTCAGTTAGATTATTTCCATGCAAAGATTATGGATTAAATTAATTGTGATCACGTATCCGTGCCACTTTATGGACACACATGGATTAATACAGTGTTTTTACAATGAATTGGGATTTGAGAAGCAGGAAATTTTGGGATTTTTCCAGAGAATAATCTGGAAACTTCATCAGAATGGGAGAGATAATTAACTTTAATTGATTTAAAACACTACAAACATCAATGTTAAGCATAAAAAAGAGAAATCCTATTAAATAAATAAATATAATAAACATTTATTGTGAGTAACATCCTAGAAAAGTGCAAGAAATTAAAAATCAAGTGTTGCTTTTTGAGCTTCCAGATGTAAAACGTTTAATCTAAAGGGGAAGATGATGAACTTTAACCGGACTTCTTAAACAGCCAACATCCACGCCGAGGATTCAGGTCCAATTAGACCTGGTGGGAATGATAGGAACCTAAGAAAGAAGGATGCATTTCCCAACTTAAACAAACTCCCATAGTGGGAATCAGTTGTGTGTTTGTTTGCGTGCAGCTGAATGTCAGCCTGCAGCCTCGCATGGTTGCATACAAACGGACGTCAGCTCTGTCTCCACGCACGACTGCTGCTGGAGTCTCATCGGCTCCTTCCTCTCTTTTCTGTCCCCCCTCTTACTCCCCCTTTCACCCCCTCTCCCCTCACGAAGGACAGGCCTCGTCAGTCCCTTCAAATGTTCACATCCTCCAACTGTCAGGTGAAGAATCTAATAATAATTCTTCTGTTCTGGGCTGATCCTTTAACTCTGACACACTAAACATATCTCCTCATCTCTTTCTGTGCTGCTATCAGCGTTTAAACTAATGCTTTGTTTGGAATGGAGGAATGTCAGCTCCTGTTAGTTTCTCACACCTGCTGCGTTGTCACCAGCACCACCTTAAAAACAGAATAGCAAATCAACGTTAGTAGCTGACACAAATCTGGATATTCCATATGTTTTCCCACACGTTTTTCTCCATAGCAACATTTTGTAAATGACATAAACATGACAAGTGAGTTTGGAGCCAGACATCACTACTCTGATCAACTCCAGCGCTGTGATAAGCATCGGGAGTGCCCTGAGACTTTTATTGTGAAATTGCATCTGCTAAAACCACAGTTGGAGATAAAAAAAAAAAACTAACACATTTATGTTGGTGAGATGTTTGGAGAAAAGCTGGAGACCAAATTAAAAAGGAAAAGCTTTTGTACATTTTTGTATTCAGGCACTTTGTGATTAATTTGGGGCCACTAACAGAACATCACAGAACTTATCTGCAGTTTAAACTTAGAATAATGTTGTAATTTTACATTTTTGTTGTGACTTTTTTTCTCTATCTGGTCACAAACAGCCACAGCTCAGGTAAATACCAAGCAGCTAACTCTGCCGGCTAAAGGTGAAGTCAACAAGGAAGTGAAAAAAACTGCAGTTCCCCCCTCATCCACCAGGGGCTGAAAGGAGCAAGTTCTCTTTGACTCCCATAAAAATGCCAACTTCACAGCAGAAATAAACACGTTTACAGCCTGGTTTAATAAAACATTTTAGGGTTAATAGGGAAGGTTTACAGTCATGAAAACTCTGGGGTGATTTTATTTTTGTAACTCATCTGTTTAGATTTAAATAAAGCTTGAAAATATGAATTTTTAGGGGTGTGTCCTTTTGATTGACAGGTAACAGCTGAGCCGTCAGCGCTAGCGCTAGCAGCTTGCTCCTAGAAAAGCCTCCGCCTCACGTTAAAAGCCTAGAAAGCAGAGGGTAGCAAAGTTGCTAACCAACAATTTTCTTACTAAAAGTGCCCACCAACCTCCGTTAGCCTCGGTTAGCTCAGTTAGCTTGTAGCAGTTAGCTCAGTGTTTGATTAGTGTCAATTATCTGCCCCCACCCTCACACCCGTTCTCAGCTCCATTTTTTTTATTTTCAAGGAGTGACGAGACTCGTAACGCAGCCAAGGTGGTTGGAACCGCCCACTGGGCTTTAGTTCAGCTCTTCAGACGGCAGGTGAAGGCTCGCAGGGTCCATGGTGTATCAACTAAATACTGGATTCTCTGTTCACATTTACGTAGGCCCTTTCACAGTTTATGTTGCATTGTGACATTCTTAAAATTATTTTTTAAGAATTGTGCAAAAAATAAAGAAATTGTTTACTTCTATCAAATTCATTTGCACTTTATTACTCAAAGATTCATGGAGCTTACTGAGTCCTAAATCAACGATTTTAAAGTAGGTAAATAAGATTTTATTTGTGGATCACCTTTCAAGACAAAAATCAGAAAGTGGTGAAGAAATCAAGCAAACAAAAACAGATAAAACAGATTAAAGCTGCACACTTCAAAGTTGCCAAAATAAAATTCACTAAAACTGGTGCAATCTCAGAAAAAGCCCGTTCACTCTGTGTTTTCTGCCTTGTTCTGTTCATAAAGCCGTTTTAAGTTTTGATTCTGGTACTGAAAGGATGTAATTCTGTGCACAAACAGAAAAATTTATAACAGTTCCAATCGTTTTGTGTTTATGCCATTTTGTGGCAAAACTGTTGCATAACTGCAGCCATGAAAACGACTAAAACTACAATTTGATGTTTCTAATAAAAACATTTTATTCAGATTTGAGTGAA